GGTTGCACTGAAATGTCAAAATGGGCTATCCCGCCACATGCTTTGCATACACATTTTTCATTTTTAATTATGAGGAACCACCATGTGTCTTGAAGTAACTTCTGCTGCTAACATGCTTGCTGGTGTGGGGACAGCATGGTTACCCTCTCATCACTCAGAGGACACACTTGTGTGGCCGCCGTGAAGTAATGAGTTGAGCAAACCGCCCAGACCAAAGAAAGATGCAGGCGGCCCTGAGAATATGTGGGAAAAGGCAACCAAAGGGGCCATAGATGACATTTTAAAAAGAGAATCTGTGGCCTGATGACAGCTGATGTAAACGTACACCATGCTGCAAGATTAAGTGGTATGCCTCATTAGGGGAACTCTGTGAACATGGACTGCTCAACATGTGAAAACTTTTACAAATCAGATTTTTTTTTTGTATGCATATTCTGAACAACAAAAAAAGGTGTGATGCATATAGTATGTATACACCTAATTTCCTTTTCACATGTGGATTATGAGTAAAATTTAGAAAATGAGATGGGCCCTTGGGGGTTTCCTTTTGTACTAGTGTTCAGTCCACTGGAGCCTATACATGAAGACCAGTACCAAGCTTGGTTAAGCTATACAGATCTGGAGTGCAATGTTTTATTTAACTTAATACTCAGGAAAAGCCAAATAAGCATATCAAATACCAGTTTTGCACATTTAACACATTGTAATCTTGAATTATCCTATTTAGAGAAAAACACCATAAATGTGAGACTGAGTCTAGACTTTAGACTATTAAATCATTTCAGGTGATGAACTCAGAGCTGCAGGTAACCCATCAGCCATTGCACTTTTGCCCGCACTGTATCTGAAGAAAAAAAAAATAAACAACCTAAATTCATCTCTGAGTGGAACTTTTGATGAATGAAGAGAGTCTGCAATGTGAACTGTAATTTTGCTAAACTACAGAACAAAAAGCGGCATCCAGATTTAGATTGAAATAAACGTTTCCTTTGCCAGTCAAAGATGAGTAAAATAAAATTAAATGGGCTTGGAATAAAATGAAAAAGTCATAATTTCAGTAAAGACTGATTGAAGATGAAGGGGGAAAAAAAACATTAAAAATGCCTTATAATTACATTTTCCAAACCATTATTTTTCTAAAAAGCAGTGGACACATCTATAAACTGACTTTGAGAGTTTGGTACGTACTGTTCTTCAAGCTTAGAAAATAGAACAAGCCATTCAGTTCAGGTACATTTTTGGGACAGACATACGCCAAGATGGCCACATATAAAAAAACAAAGCTTTATAAGGTCATTCACACACCGAGAAATTAGATTTTGCTGACTACTGTCTGCAGATATCAGACCATGACTGGTGGATTACTGACAGGTTGCTATACTGTTTTGTACATGTAGAGGCCTTAGTCATACTGACTTGTGAGTTATGCTCTATTCTCATAAATAATATCTGAAATGATCAGATCACTACAGATTTTTGATGCTGGAAGATCTTCTGAAGCATTTCCCGAACCCTCACTCTGCCGTTTAAGCTGGTGCCAGCTGTTGACCTTCAATTAGTTGTATTCAAAAGTGACCTAATTATTAAATATGGCTCACTTTTGTGTAACACAGTCGAAGTATAAATCTAACTGTTCCATGAAGGCTTTAGAGGTTTGTTAGTGAACTTTAGTAAACAAATGCCACCATGAACATAAATCTAAAGCAGAGTTAGATTAGAAAACAAAATTCCAACCGCATGTCAGAAGATAGAAATATTATACCTTAACTGCAAACTAAAAAGGACATGGCCATCCTGATAGATTTGGCAAAGATAGCAGCAAGGAGAGTAGCAGCCAAGACCGCCATGGTTAACTCTGGAAATCTCTTGACAGGACAAGGATTGGTTTGTCCTAATGAAGTCTGAAGACATTTTTTCTTCTAAAGCATGCCGCAATCCATGAAGATCATACAGCAAACATTTCAAAATGGATAATCTGGTAAGTTGAGTGGAAAACAGAACTTTTGCTTTGTGTGATAGAAAGATTAACATTGCACATGAACCAGAACAAATTATTACAGTAAAATAAGATGACAGCATCATGCTTTAGTCATGCATATTTTAAGCAGAGCTAAATACTAGAGTTATGGGAAAAAAATAAAACAAACTGGAGTGGAGGTCTCCCTTTGAGCAGGAAAATAACCCTTAGCACATAGCCTGAGCTATAATGCAATGATTTAGATCAAAACATGTTTAATTACGATGAAGTGCCAAGACGATCTCTATCAAATATGAGTGAGCTTGAACTATAATGTATAGCAATTTAAACAAAAACAGTAAAAAGTGGTTCTACCCTATTCTGTCTGGAGTACTGAATATACCTGGACATCAAAACCTTCAGATTTTTATTTTTTAAAATAAGCAAACAAACAAAAAACACTGTGTGTTAGTTTATTACAAAATCTGAATGAAAAACAATTAAATTTGTTGTTGCAGCATGACAAAATGTGTAAGAGTTTAGAGGGTTGAAAATCTCTGCGTGGCACTTTATGTGAATATCTGGATCTTTTCCATCTTAACATTGGTCTGTTAAAATCTTTATGATTCCTTTACAACAAAGCTAATGGCTGATCTGCAGGTATCTAACGAGGCTTTAATGTTTCTGGCACAGCATTAAAAATCATACACATTATACACTGAAATTCAAGGAAATCTATGACAATCATAACATAGCAAGAGTGCATCACTTTTATACATATCCTCATTCACAGAATGTTTCAAAGTCCTCTATTTCCAGTACAAAATCCCTTAAATATTACTTTAAATAAACATGTAATGTCTATGCAGGTAATATTTCAATATCAGGTTATAACACAGTTTTAAATTGCATTTATTAATTAGATTTTTTTTTAATCCTCTAACATTTTGATGATGCATATCATAATTAATCTCTCTTTACACTCTTCGCTTTACAGTACCAGCCTGCATTATTCTACAGTCAGTTAAAAGGCAAAGCATTATGAAAGCCTGGAGAGACGGCAGTGGGGGTGAGCATGTCATTTGAAAAGGCACTTGTTTATTGTTGGAGAGCATGTATTTATTTCATGCCTCCACAGATTGTGGGTAAGGGCAGAGCTAGCTCGGTTTGTGTAATTAGAGAGGTGGAGAGAGAAAGCGTTCTGCCGCAGAGACCTGCTTTCTCAGATAGTCCTTTGATTTCTCTGGGAGCCCTGAAGAGCACTCTCACTCTAGCCCACATCCCACTGAACTGTGAACCATTTGCTCACGAGCAGGAGCACCTGTCTGTCCTAGTTTGTGCGATCTGATAAGTTTAGTCTATATCGCAAGTTAAACTGGATGCATGTCACACGCTCTGCGCTAGTTTAAACCTTAGCATCTCTTTTCCTCCTTCTCCGTCGGCCTCGGATATCCCTCTGATCTGGGCCGCGCTAATAGGGGGTCTGCTCTTCCTGTCCGGGGTTTAACAGTATGGGAGGGACCACCACATTGCCACCCAGTGGCACCATCTCCAGGACACCCAAACATGTCTACTACAGCTTCAAAGAGTACACGCATACAGTTATTTGGTATGTAATTACTTTACACGCTGCTGTCTGGAAATCTGCATACAGCTAAGTGTTTATAATGTTTTTGCCGTATGTTTAAGTTCCTACCTCCCCTGTCATAATTGCCATTTTTCATGTCTATGAATAAACCGTGCTGCCCCAGAAAGGTGCCCACTGAGGTTTGCTTGAAAACAGAAATACAGTTTATCAAAACAACAGCCTGACGCCAACATTGGCCATGGAGCTAAATTTGTCCAGAATCTTCTAAAAAAAAAAAAAAAAAACGTGACTCAAAAAAACAAACAAACATGTCTCAAGCACTTCTGTAACAAACCGTAGACAGGTTAAGTCCTTTAGCCACAGTAGAAAAAGTAGGATTTTCATAGAAGTGAATCTTGACCTGCTCAGATGAGTTAAATCTTTATGCTCCATTCTCAACAATGAGAGTTTATAGAGCTGTTGCATACCTCTGGGCCGGGGTGGTAATGCATATTCTCATCTGTCACGTTCACCATGGCTACGGTGAGGCTGCTCCTATTTTAAAGTTGGTGGTTTGTGGCTGTCCCAACAAGGAAATATCTACCCTGTGGCATAGGGAGCTTCTTTAAGACACCGGGAACTTAGAATTTAAAGCTATTCTGGAAGCAGAAGCCTTCCTGTTGGTTTAATTTACACATGTTTCGCCTAAAGTTGTGCAACACTCTGAGGGTAAAGCTGTGTAAAGCATCATTTTAGCCTACAGAAGGAGAGAGGTGTAAGTGGTTTAAATGTGAGAAAAAAAGAAAGAAATGTTATTTTAGACAAGTCCTTAACACCCTTTTATAAAAAAAAAAAAAAGAAGAAATCAATGAGTGAATGCTGAAAAATAAACTCTGGAATGCAACTTTTAAGCTGTCAAATCGAGGCAATTAATTTAACCAGTTACAGCATATTGTTACAGTCCAGTTTTACAATAAATTCTGAAAGCAGACTTTCGCATAAAGTGTCTTGCAAAAGCACTATTATTTTTTGTACAAATGTTATTCTTATTCGATAGAATAAAGTACAGTATCACCGTGAAGGGAAAATCAATTATTTTTACATTTTTTCTTACAAATAAGATCAGAAGCCTGTCTTTATTCTGTCGTGCCTAAATAAAATTCAGTGTAACCATGCTATGTGTTTGTATATATAAGTAAAAACTTCCAGCAATTTAAGATGAACATTTAAAGGCATAACAATGAAAAAAGAAATAAATTGATGACACCTATGGCTGTCATTTTGCTGGCTGTTAGATCTGAGCATCATGCAGACAGTTTTATGGCAGCAACCTGCCTCACGTTTTAGTGTGTTAACCATAAAAGTCTACATGACAGAAAGAAATCCAGAGACAGGGGAGGGAGGTAGTGAAAGAAGCAGGGAGGGATATATGGAGAAGGAGGGAAGAGGGGAGGATTGACTGAGGGGAGCATTTACTAGCCACACTCATTCACACAGTCACTTTCCCCCTGCTAGTGACTTTCACCACTGCAACTTTTTGCTGCCTACCAGGTGAGTGAACATTCATACTAGTTATAATAGTTCAGTTTTATCCTTTTTTTATTTTGATCATAGTTATATGCGTCTAAATACGGGCTCTTCAGTGTGTGGATGCAACACGTGCGTTAAGGGATGAATTGTGGACAAAAGATGCTAACTCACCTACGTTCTGTTTCTTAAAGGAGATTTTTTTTTCCTTTAAATCTGACTGCGGCATCAGTTGAACAAAAAAATAAATAAATAAATAACCCGCTTTTTCATTTTATAGCATTCTGTACCAGCATCCAATCTTTAAACTGGGTTATGCATATTGTTTCCTTTGGATGGATTTGCCCAATGTTCTGCTTGTTGGTGGTTTATTCTTTTGTAATTTTATCCTAAAAATCACACCCACTCACATATTTTAGGCCATTTTTGGTCAGTGTGTTTTCCTGTGGCCTCTCTTGTTTAAAAGTAACTCTCTCTCTCTTTCTCACTCCCTCTACCCCACTGGTGTTTGTGCTGAAACACTTGTTCAGCACCAGGTTAAAACCTGCCTGGCGTATTTCTGTCTGGTTAGTTTGCCTTGGGGGATGTTTACTTACCTTAATTACCTTACGAAAGTGAGCAGCTGTACCTTAAATTATATGCCTGTGTTTGACATGAGGGGGAACGTGCTTATTTGATATTTAAGGCTTTCACAACATCACTGTTGGACCAAAGGCTTAGCAGTAGTGACTAAAATCACTAACGTGGAAAAAGAAAACAAGGCAAAGCAAGTCTTATCTCGCTGGTTATCATTAGATAAGAATTATGTCTGAGAACACAATTCTTGAGGGGAAAAACATTATCACAGTTACAGTGATTGACTGACTGCTCTGTTCTCTTCCTTTGCCCTTTAAAGGGTCTCATACTCGATTATATGCCATTTGAAAGGCACGCAATTAACCTTGCAGCTATTATAAAAGCTGGTACCTAAACCTAACTGAAAATGTGCACAGTTTAATTTATGTAAGAAAATTAGCTAGAACTTGCTAAGCCAAGCCTTTTACCTCCAGGTTTCTTCCCTCCACCCATGATGACCCGCTCCCTCGGCTTAATCGTCCAGCTCCTTCTGCTGCTGTCCCTTAGCTTCACCGCACGCGCTGAACCTCGGAGGACCACGACGTCTCAGCGCAGAACTCCTCGCGCACCGGCCGCCAAGGTGCGCCTTGCCGGCAACTTTGTGCGCGAGGCGAACGAAGGGCGCGTGGAGGTGCTGCACAACAACACCTGGGGTACCATCTGTGATGATGAGGTGGACATTAACCTGGCTAACGTGGTGTGCCGAGAACTGGGGTTTCGAGGAGCGGTAACGTGGGCCCACAGTGCCAAGTATGGAGAAGGGACAGGTGAGAGCACTTAAAGACAAATTTCACATTACTTTCAAACGTTACCAAGGCGGACCCAAGGAGAATTTGATAATTCTGTTTGCCTAATTATTAACCACTATGGCACTACAATGCTAATATGAGATAGTTACATTTTAAAGAGTTTTATGAAGAAAGAAATGGTCACTCAGAAAGAGCATTAAATTACCTTTTAAATGGCTTCAAGAAGAGTGCATGTTTAAAAAAAAAATAAATTTATGACATGATCATAAAGTTTTTATCATCTCTTTATCATAATGTTTGTAATTTGGTTTCATTCTTGGTCACTGATTTGAATAAAAATATTGATCACTTAATTGAAGTTATGAAGATTCTAAATATCTTACAGTAGAAAATTATACAGTTTTGGAATAGTTAAACACTAGTAATCATTTTTTGAAGCTTTAATTGAAAAAAATTAGTTAAATAAAAATATGGAATGACTTAGCAGTGGGTTATTGATTAAAATGTTTGAAAAGTCCAGTGTGCGACTCCTTTTAATGCCTTCATTATAGACCACAGTTTTTGCTTTGGATAGGAAAACCAAAAATATGCCCATTATTAGATCAGTCAAATATATCTTTAGAGAACCCAATTCTCGACAAGATGTTACTCACAAGAAATACCTAATTAGAAAAATAATTTAAATTTGAGTGTGTTTACTTTATGGAATGAACAAGGATAAGAGATGATTTTGGAGGGGATGAAGCAACCAGTTGCACAATTGCAAATCCAATATTTGGAACTTACTGATTTATCTACTGATACTGTTTAAGTCAAATTTAAATTTAATTTAAGTCAAAATTCCTAACAAACTCTTAATCACCAATTTCTATGCAACAAAAGCTTCCCTCAAAGGTTTTAACGGATGTCCATAATTTTGATGTGTAAATCTGTAGTGCATGTGTGTGAAATAGTTTGACTGTGAGTACATGTAGAGATAACAGGTGATTTTTTTTTTTGTCTTGACAGAATTCAATTTCAAATACAATGTTTTTTAACATTGGAAATATCTACTTGAGGATATTTGGAATTAAACAATTGACACGCAGGAAAGTTGACACAATTTGTTTCTAAGAAGAGTAGCATATGCACCTACCTGCATGATGTCCACTGAGATATCTGAAGTGCAGACAGAAAGAATGGGATTCTATATATATATATATATATATATATATATATATATATATATATATATATATGCCGGCAATGTGACAAAATAACATTCCACAATTATATTAACTCCAAAAGCATAAATGCTTTTTCTTGTAGGAGATAGTGAACAGTGGCGGAAGTCCACATTGGACCAGTTTAATCAGGCTTTTAAAATAACTAAATAACTAACATTGTGAAGCAACTAAGGTAACAAAGGAAAACTTTTTTAGCAATTGAAGTGCAACGCTTGCTAGGGTTGACTGACGGACCAGCACGTAAAAATCATGGGTAGAAAAGAGTCATTTGCTTAAGAAAAAATATCTCTATTTGCTTGCCAGTGTTTGGAACACTTGCTGTGGTTTATAGGCATCGTTTAGTGGTTCTTTTAAATCCAAATTAAAGAGAAGATTGAGTGGATTCAATGAGCTGAATCTACACCCCCTCTGCTGCCTTGTAAAATACTGTGCATCCGCTACTGAACACTCTGCTAAGGTGGAACCCTAAATCAGCCAGCCCATAAACGTCAAGTGTTAGATGTTAAGGAACTGATTGAAGTTGTTGTGTAAGGATGCATTGCAAACCCATGCATGGAGCAATCACTCAAAGTCCTAATGAATTACATTGTGAATTTCTTCTTTCATAAGGTCCTATTTGGATGGATAACATACGGTGCGACGGCTCAGAGAAGTCCTTGAAGGACTGCAAACACAATGGTTGGGGGGTAAATGACTGCAAGCACTCTGAAGACTTAGGGGTTGTGTGCACCCCTGAGCGCAGACTGGATCAGTCTGCCAGCAGAGGTTACACTACACCTGTCAGGCCTTCTGGCAACACTGCTTCTCAGTGGGGGGGTATTGTTACAACACAGAGGCATCCAGGATACGGGTATTACGGGAATGGACATCCGTATGAGATCCCAAGGTTCCAAAGGCACCACCATTACCAGGTACAGCATCTGATACATCCATCTTTTGTCTAAGAAAGATCTCTGTTTATAGCAGGATATGCCTCTTTTGTCAGGGTCACAGCAGAGTACGGATTGAAGAGGTCCGTCTGCGTCCCATCCTGTCAGCTACAAAGAAGAAGAACCTTATCTCAGAGGGTGTAGTGGAAGTGAAGCATGCTGGGAGATGGAGGCAAGTCTGTGACCTAGGTTGGAGTCTCAACAGCAGCCGGGTGGTGTGCGGGATGCTTGGCTTTCCAGAGGCAACTCAGCACAATGTCAAAACATACAAGTGAGTATGACGGTCTCTCAGCAGCTGTGTTCGGGAAAACTGTGCTTAGAAGAGCAACCTGCCGTGTAACTTAGCAATTTTTTTATGAATTCAAACCCAACCTGCAGAATAAAAACATAGCAGCAGGCCCTCATTCAGAGCTGCTGTAAGTAAATGACTCGCTTTAGGCTTATCTTTCTCACCCAGCCTCTTCACCTCCCTTATATAGCCTTAGGATGGTGATAAAGGGATCCCCGTCCGATCTCCATTGCCCTTTCTCTGCCCCTCTTTCTTGGCAAATCACCCCTGCACACCTCATTGCCTTTCTCTCACCGCTTTGCCTTCTCTCCTTCTGATGCTATCTTCCTCCTGCAGCTCACAGACGAAACAAAAAAAAAAAAAAAACAGCACTTTAACTTTTAGATTCCCTTGCTGAGGTGTAATATCACTGCTGACTGTGGTGTAACTGTGCCATCAATATCATGCGTGACCAAGATAACTATTAGAAAGTGAAATAAGGGTTAGCATGTAAAGGACTTGTCTTATTGACAAGGTATTGTCAACAGCACAGCATGTATTTGCTATTACATCTGACCCCACCATACTTTCAGAGTCAACATTTATTAGCAAAGGTATATAAATACTTGTGGTGGAGGTACAAATGCTTTCAGTCAGTGCTGTTAAAGTGTTGACCTGAGCCTCATGACTTCATTAGAGTTTTGTATTATTTTTTAAATGTAAACTTAATATAAATTATACAAAAATAAAAGCAATATCTTTGTAAATACATAATTTTAGAAACTGAATTTGTTGGTTTTATGTATAAAAAAGAATCACACACACACACACACACACACACACACACACACACACACACACACACACACACACACACACACACACACACACACACAAAACAAAGCCCACCATATTTATTAAACATGACATTTATAGCGCACAGCTGTGCTATATATGATTAGTTAAGCCAGTAACGCCTTGATTTTTTTTTATCATTAGCAATAGATTAGAAAGATAAGATCAATTAAATTATTAAAAATGTCTCAAAAAAACTTTAACATTAAAGTTTTCTTGAGACTTTATTTATTCAGCACTTCTTGCACAAGTTGAAACGTTTCACACCACTGGGGGTAATTTAGAGGACAGTAACAAAAATAATTTGTTCAAAAAAATCAGTTATAAGTTCAGGTAGCCTCCTAATCAGGTACTGGATTTGATTTGCCTTAGAGATCTAACTGGAAGGAGAATGTTATTCATTTTAAATATCTTTAAAGATTTTTGTATACTTTACGAACTACTCTAACTGGGGTAAACCCGCTCACTGAAGGTATTTCTGGATTGTCCTTGTATAAAATTGCCCAGTCTAGTTTAAATTTACATTGTTAAATTATTGGAAACACCAGGACACTATAACAACCTCCTTGTGTTAAAGAAGGAAGTCATGTAACATCAAAGGCTTTCCGAAAACGGTGGAGTGTACCAGGACAGCCTGGCTCTGTTTGCACTCTGAACAGGATCATTTATTATTTGAGTATGCCTGCAATGCAGGTGTGAACTTTACTGTCTGTCTATTCAGTTTCCTCCTGCTGTACAGACTCGACAGCAGCAGAGATACAGAGAGCTGAAGGTGGAACACAAGTCATTTTTAAGAGACAAATTGGATGAATAGATTTGCATCTCTGCAGCATTTAAGGAGACATTTGGTAACTTGCCAAGGGAAGGGAGATGACAGGTAAGAACAGGGTTGCTGTAGCTTGAAGACTATAGCCAAACGTATTCCATGGAAGTGTTTTGGGTGTGTAAATTTCAGCGTTCTGGCACGGAAGTGGTCATGACTTGCTACTTGGTCAGTCTGGCTTCAGAATGACCGAGTGTTTTGCTGAGATCTAAGGCTCTACACTGGTCTGAATCATGATTATGTGTTTGCTTCCAAATCTGTACCCGGTTGGGTTAGTCTCCACAGATGCTTATTTGCTCCTTCTTGATATGTATTTTCAACTTTCAGACCGGTTCTCAGAGTACAAAGGCCCCATGTGTTTCAGCTGTTTGTTGTATACTCAAGATTATATTTTAAAAAAAGCAAGGATGGCTGGAAATGATAAATTCGGATGTAGCGGTTAATCAGAACAAGAATTTGCATAAACATTTCTACAGCTTCCAAAAGAGGCTTGGGATTTTATTTAGCCATGACATTCCCCGCTAATTCTCCTCCTAACCCAGTCTTTCCGTCCATTCTTAGAAATTCTGGACCCTGCCATGTTTCTCAGCTCTGTGTGTCTTTTGGATGAAACTCTAAAGAGGCTGTAATTGCAAGTTGGTCAGGACCAAAGCTCTTCTGGGTTTTTGCTGAGGGTGAAAAACACCCCCAATTATAGCCGTGTGTGAGAGAGTAAAACAGCGCTGGCAACGAAAGTGGAAGCGAGTAACAAGCGCAAGAGGCAGCAGAGAGAAGGAACGAGAGCAAGAGTCTGACAAGTGAGCTTTTCGCTTGCTCGTGTGAAATACAGCCAATTACAACTGAGGCCTGGTGCACTCTCCGCTGCGTCAGCGGCTGTCTGTCTTGCTCTGTCACCATAGTGATTTGGGGACTTAACCAGCATTTGTTTAATTACCTTTCAGCTTAAATTTTCTTATGATAAGGGTATCATTTTCAGGCTATTTGGTGACATTTTGTGTCCAAATATGGTTTTCCTGTCTGGTGACTGTGTGATCCACCTCAATGACCTCTCTAATTTACTTTCCCGTCTTTTAATTATCGTATGCATTCCAGTGGCTACATTTCTGGCTTGCAGCAGACTGTGCAAGATTGCTTTCCAAGCACAAATGAAGAAGAGTAGTCTGAATCATCTCGCTTTGATCAATTGCTTCAATACTCAGATGAGTTTAAAACTCTTTACTGCTAGAATATTTAATTTATCATCAATTTGCTCAAACTAAGGGAGATAAATTTCATCTTTCAGATGCTGATTTCTTTTTCCTTTAAAACTTGGCACCTGCTCACACTAATCTAAGCTCTGCTGTGGTGTACTGTCAATGTAGTCAAGCTGAATGATGCTATTATAGAATAGCCTGAGCTTCCTTACCACGTCAGCACAGCCAATATGATGGTCTCCATACTATGCTGCACTGATGCAGGAATACATTCACAAAAAGCTCCCAGAATGTGTTGGTTAAATATACTGTGGCCTACAGTGAATTGAAATATATTTTTAGCAAATGTCTTAGAAATAATTCATATTTTATTTATTTCAAAATGCAATTTTGAAATTACCTGACAATTTTAATTTTGAGTTTTCCTTCGCTGTAACGTTAAATCATCAAAACAACAGAAATAATGTTTGAAATCCCAGATTTGCTGTGAAGTAAATGTAAGTTTTCAACCCAATTATTGACATGAATCGACTTTTCAGTGATGTTCAATTCCAGACACACCATTACCACTTAATTTGATGAGTGATGTATTCCTTAAGACAAAACCGGCAGCAAACATAAACAAGAAATGTTGTACGATATAATTAAATTGTAAAGCAGTGAGAGACTGATGTAACTTGAACTGTGGTGAAATGCTTGTCTTTTAGCAAGATTGTATCAGCCCCTGTCATTAACTTCAATTGAATCATTTCACAAGTGCTGAAGAGACAATTTGCCTAAACAAAGCTCAGACAGTTGTAGCTGTCTGTTCGTTACAATTGTGTACAACTTCATTGGAAAAGTCCTCTCACAGTTCCAACCACTTGTTACAACCAGATGAACATTTGCATGAAATGAATGAAATTTAACACGTGCAATTCAGTCAAATGAAATACCAGAAGGTAGAAATTTACAGTTTGCTTTGTGAAGAGGAAAAATGGTTTGTTGATTTGTCTGTGGTGAGGTCACAAACAAGTCACAGACATGTTTGCCTCAGTGTACATGCACACTGCAAGCTTCCTATTAACCACTGCTGAAAAGCCACATGGCAGACACATTTAAAATAGTTTACAAGAGTAATTTAAGATCCAGTAAAGAATAGGCCCAGAGCTCCAAACAGTTAGCCAGTTACAGTTTGTTGCAAGTTTATCTGGCATTTTGCTGCCTCCGAAAAGGGATACATGCCTAATATTCTTTCAAATTGATTTAAATTAGACTGTTTCATGAGTTTAATTTCACTTGAAAATGTTAAATCTTTTTTTTTCCTACAGTCAGGTCTTTGAAACTGATTTCCTACTTCAAATGAACCAGAAAAAGATGCACCTGCAAATTTATATTTGACATGTACAAAACTCAGGTGACGGTGAAATGAAAGTATGCTAAATTTAAAACAATCTCGAAATACTTTTTGATAAGTGATATTTTTAGGTTAAGAGCAGAATGTTCTTATGTCTTGAGTTAAAACTGAAGAGTTGGGGAACAGGCTATATGTTTCTGGAAAGTGTACATTCAGCAACTCATGACTTCATGCAACTGTCAAACATAACAGTGTGTAATGGACAATCAGCCTCTTGATTCCAACATCCTTAGTTTATTTTCCAAGGTTTGTGCTTGGACTTTTACAGGAGCATGTAACGTTTCATGTTAGGAATGCAAATATTGACCCACCTTTGCTTTCATTCAGATACACATAGATGTGTTTGTTTCTAAAAAAAAAATTAAAAAAATGGGAGAGTAATTGAAAACAGCATGTCAGGATATGAACATTTCTTTCAAGAGTTCTTTACTGAATGTCTGAATTTCATGTCGATTAATTTGTTTTCACATATGATGTGTTCCAAAGAAATATAGGTTTCATTATGCTCCTGTTGCAGAAAATAAGATCTTTGAACAAATTGAAGTATTGAACGTCCCCATATAAAAGTGCTGGCTTGCATGTGCATGCGTGCATCTGTTTATAGTTTAGCCAATGTTTTTGTTGCAGAACGAATATGCGGCCTTTGCCGTGGTCTGTGGATGAACTGGCATGGGGCGAGCGGCTTGTACTCTTTGTTGCTTTGCAGGGCTTTCCTCGTCACCACACTAAAAGTGAGCCAGTTTAGCCAGCCCATAAATCATTGTTCGGTGCCGCAGCTTTTGTTTGTATATTGCGCTTGGTTGAAACAATGCTTTTTTCATTGTTTCATACTGTGTCACTGAAGTTGCATGCAACATTTTTTGGATTGCATGGGGGTTTTGAGGCTTACAGTACAGTTCAGAATAATTTTATGTTTTTTTTTAATTGTTTTTTACTTGTTATGTATGTAATTTTGGCCTTGTGTTAAATATAAATCTGTGTTATGGTCTTAGATGGAACGGGTCTTGATTTTTTAACTCTAAATAACTTTACCCTCATAGCACAGCCTTGTGCACAACTAATTTTAATTCTACATTGTGGTGCAAAAGGACAGGCATGTGAAATATGTAATATTTGTTTTTGATTCTTTGCAGGAAAATATGGAATTCCAAGGTTAAAGATCCATCAACAAGGTAATAAAAGCACAATTAGAAGAACGCTTAATCTTAAATACACAAAGTCCTAATGCAGATCTTCTTCAGCAGTTTAGTTCAAATGTAAAATATTAATGTAGTTTTTAGTGTTTTTTTTAGTCCTCAACCCTAACAAATTCTGTTGATTGTTGCTAAGATTCCATCCATTCAGTTATTTTTAAATCTGGGATCAGGTTGCTCAATTTACTAGTCAATAAGGGAAAGACCCCATTCTTTGCCGGAGTATGTAAGGTCAGCCATCATACACTGAAAATACATTTTATTCAGTTGAATCTGGGATTGTTTATTCTGTTATGATCCATACATCAGTCATAGTGCTGTGACTATGAAAATGTCATATTTTGTACTGCTTTGGTCACCAGTGGTTTTCATCTCAGAATTCTCACACAGATGTGAGTTCTTCCAAATCTTTTGTTGAATCATGAACACTGAGTGAGGCACTGTGGTCTGCAGCTCTTTAGATGTTTTTCTGGACACTTTTCTGACCTCCTGCAGTACTTTGGCCTCTTCTGGAAAGGTTTACCACTATTTCATGTTTTCTCCATTTGCAGAGAATGGCTCTCACTGTGGTTTACCAGAGTCTCCAACCCTTAAGAGATGGCTTGTTAGAAAGTCATTTAAAAATGACTTTTCAAATTTATGTATTCCAGGACTTTGTTGCTAGTCTGTTCTTGAATAGTTTTAGCTCGGGGACGATGTGTTGCTTTTTGAGATGTTGTGGTCTACTTCATTCTGTCAGACAGTATTGAGTCTAGAGCCTCCGGGTCTGGATCACCGTGAGAAGTAATTCATGATTTAACAAGAGAGGCCATTTCTTTTCCACATGGGGCCTGGTTAGTTTGGATCATTTCCTCCTAGTAAATGAAATCATCATTTGGAAACTGCTGTTTGCTTTTACTCAGATTATGTTTGTCTAATATTAATATTTGCTTAAGAGTAAAGAAAAAGGTACAAAAGAAGAAATTTGTAAATTGCCAAATACTTATTTATAAATGTATGATACTGAGAATAAGCTGTTGTCATAATTATAATCAAACATCAATATTGTTAAGAAATCTAAATAATTCAGTGTCATGTTGCGCAGAACTTTAAAAGATATATCACCAAAGTCTTTTTTGTGTGTTTTTCCAGAGTAAGCCTCATGGCAAAAAAGAAGGGATTCTGGGTAGAGAAGGTGCACTGTCTGGGCACGGAGAACACCCTGTCGGAGTGCCACTCTCAGCTGTCAATTCCTCGAAGTCCTACGCCTTGTAAGAACGGGCAGTTTGCAGTGGCAAAATGTGTGCCAGGACCTCAATTTGCTCGCATCTCCTCAGGAAGGCCCCAGGCTCCTCATCCTGTAGTGGTAAGAATAATAAAATTATGTTCCTATTAACATTATCTTATTGTGTCCATCTGTGGAAGAAAACAAATTCTGAAATATATGGTCTCCCCTGCATAGCCTGTGCGTCTCAAGGCAGGTCCCAGGCTTGGTGAAGGCCGTGTGGAGGTTCTTCGAAATGGAAAATGGGGGACGATTGTTGATCACTTGTGGGACAGAACTGCAGCCAGTGTTGTTTGCAGAGAGCTCGGCTTTGGTACTGCCAAGGATGCCTTGCACGGAGCCTTTATGGGCCAAGGTAGGAGAGAAAACTGTTTAAAACAAAAAAAAAGTTGGAAAATTTTGAAAAGTCCATATTTAATTCAATATTGTAAGTCAGCAGTTTGCTTGTTTGAATGCGTTTATTGTGTGTTGTGGCATTTTGGAGAAGACAGGGAGACTTTTGCTTATCTTTCGCTTATCTTTCGCTTATCTTTCGCTTATCGTAGACACCACACCCGTCTGCCCTGACTGATTAGATAATGTTCAGGCATGTGTGTTTGCATTTTGCCAATGTGTATTACCTCATGAACTGCAAATGTGTTGATTGCCATATCTCCAGCTGTGATTATATGTGTCCTTTGCCAGTGGTTCCAGCTGCCCAAACACCATGTGCACGTGCCCATACACACTCGCAACAAAAAAACCATGGTGGTTTATTTTGGTATTTGGCAACTCAACCCAGAGACAAAATATTGCAAGATCCAAGCCTGCTTTTCATTTGAAATCTCCAGCTCCTGTGTCACCCACAGCTACAGTCAGTATCCAGCTGTTCCAGCGGTGTCTCCACCCTTAAGACATGTGAGAGAGAACGACTTCCCCCTGTCTCAGGCTTCCAGGGTGTAGTCCAAAAACATGCTAAAGGAGATGAAATGTGGGATTGTGTTCCACTGCTTTAGCTGTTCAGATGATCAAAGCAAATGTAATTTTATATGTTATTTCTGTAGATGTCATTTATGTTGGCTTTCTTTTTGATGAACCAGCACAGCTAAAGTCCAAATCACCCAACATTTTTTCCAACTTCATCTTGTCATCTGGCTCAAGTCCCGTCGTTATATTTGTGGCTACATGGTGGCACAATTGCTTGCACTGTTGACTTGCAGCAAGAAGCTCCCGTTGTCTGAACGGTGAAACTGTTTCTGCAGCTGAGTCTCAGGAATCATGGAATTTTAAAATGGAAAATTCGTATCAACCCTTTCTGATTAAATACTGTAATATATGCACCCAGCTGTGTGAATCATGGTGATCTTGTTGTTCCACTGGAGTAGAAAATATCAGCTTTTAACTTATCATTTATAGACTTATGATTTGAATACGTGGTTACAGTCCTTGTGTGTTTTACACATGTATGAGTTGGATATACTCATTCAACAAATTAAATGATGCTAATTAGTCAGACCCAGGGTTGATGATTACTGGGGACAGAATATTTAGACAAAAATTCCACACCCTTTCAATTTCATAATGGAAACATTTTCTTGTTAACCACTAACTTAAGTGGTTTACTTTTCTCATCAAGAACCTGATTGTTGTTAACATTTTCCATCTGCTAACTTAAAATACATAATAATTTGTGTAAATAATGGAGCAAAACCTGTTTTTGGTAAATACTCAATTAAGGATCATCAGCATAATCATCATCATCCCTGAATTAAATTACAGGGACAAATGTTTTTGTTTCCTTTTTGACCAACAGTTTTATTTTGACTATGTAATTTTGAGGCACACAGATATAGGGTCCCATGTATAGAGATGGGACGAAAACACCCTTGAGCCTGTGTGTTTGTTTGGATTGCAAACCCGTGAGTGGCTTGTTTCTGGGGATTTATTTTGGGGTAAGGTTTAAACAGACCATGTCACAGTTCATTTTGAGAATCTCTTTCATCAGCTTTTGCCTCGATAAGTTAAACACTGGGAGATTATATCAGGTTTGTGGCAGATAGATGGGGAAGTGGGGAAGATCTGTACTTTTTATACATACAGTGTTAACCAATGTTTGATGACTACTGTGCAAGCTAGCCTACAATTTCTTAAAATCAGCACAGGGGCAGATCAACTTAAGCTTCAGTCTGTCTTTCTTTGCCACCCATTTTCTTGTAATGCTTCTGTTTCCAATTGTTTGTGTGATTTCAGCTGTTTGCTTCCATGCAGGTTTTGCTGTTTGCACAATTGTACAAAATAGTGGAGCCACTATTCATTCAGTGTTTTCACATCCTGTAGCTTATTATACCACTAACATTTTGCTCTTGAAGGACTTTTTCCTGTCGTCTTCTATATTGTTATGAGATTATCTGGTTGTTAGCACATATAGTCAGCTTTTTTGTTTTGCTGACACACATTTGGCCTTGTTTGCTCACTCAGGGTGGCAGACTACACACAATGTGATTGTTGTTGTGCTCAGAGAAAAAAAGAATGGCGGTAATGAGCTGTGACTGATGCCTAAAGTTGATGTTTTTGCTGGCATGTTTGCCTCACAGGACTGTTTTGTTATGCAAGATAGAAGCTTTAGCACAGAAAAGGATGTGCTTGCATGTGCTTTTATGCTCTTACGGCACTGTGCTCACATTGGGTGGCACAAAACACAAGAAATACTACCCTTGACTTGTTTGAATGGTTTTTCTTCTCAGCATTCCTCAAATTTTCTACTCAAATTTTCTACATCTCTTTCTATCTCTTCAGGTACGGGACCTATTCATATGAACAATGTGCAGTGTATGGGTTCAGAACGCTCCATCCTGGATTGCTACTTCCAAGAAGTCCAACCATGGACATTCAAACACACTCAGGATGCTTCTGTGCGTTGTAACGTTCCCAAGACTGGCATAGAGAAAACGGTACAAAAATTAGGTTGCTAGAACTCTTTGTGGCACTCTATAATTATGGGAGGTCGATTTTGATCTTCTAACCTCATGGTTATCCAGGTTCGTCTTGCTGGTGGAAGAGCCTCTTCGGAAGGACGTGTCGAAGTTTTGATGGACTTTGGGGGACGGAAGCGCTGGGGTTCTGTCTGCAGCGAAAACTGGGGGATAAATGAAGCTATGGTGGTGTGCAGACAGCTCGGTTTGGGTTTTGCTGCAAGTGCTCATCAGGTAACGTCCTCAACCAACATCCCATTATACCTTGTATGAAGTCCACAGCTTTTCTCAAAGTTTTTAAGGATTCTGTTCTGAAACTTACAACGCAGTGCTCCCTCTTACAACAATTAGTTTTACTTTAAATGTGACTGTAATTTTTTTTTTGGAGTTGTCAGAATTGCCTCAACACTGGGAGTTGGCACAAATTTTTACAGATACATCCCTATGATCGCTGTGTCTGTGCTAGATTCCCTAAATAATAAACTGTAGTGCTGCTCCTCTAATTGTTTACCTCCACACTGTCTTCCCTTGGCAGGAGACATGGTACTGGCCCGGTACTGCGAATGCAAGTGAAGTGATTCTTAGTGGCACTCACTGTGTGGGAACAGAGCTCTCTATCCAACAATGTCGTCACAACAACCACATCCACTGCCCTCGCGGAGGAGGAGCCAAGGCTGCTGGGGTCAGATGCTCAGAGAGTAAGCTGAACCTCTGATTAGAACCTCCAGGTCTTCTCTTCTGATGTGACAACTTGAACATATCTCACATTCAACATCTTTCAGCTGCTCCAGACCTTGTTTTGGACGCCCAGCTGGTTCAGGAAACAACCTACCTGGAAGACCGACCACTTCATTTGCTGACTTGTGCTCATGAAGAGAACTGTCTGTCATCCTCTGCTGCCAGAATGAACTGGCCATATGGCCACAGACGCCTGCTGCGCTTCTCTTCACGTATTATGAACCTAGGTCGATCCGATTTCAGACCCAAGGCATCGAAAGAAAGCTGGACATGGCACCAGTGTCACAGGTAGGAAGCTAATGAAGGTGATAGATATCTTACTGGTATGGACTCTTAAAGGTGTAAACTCTGCTGCTCTTGTATTTCTAGGATGTCAAATCAGCACCTGTTCTCTAATGCTCAACACCATCTGTGGGATTAACTCGTTATGTGGGCTAGTTTAGTCAGCTATGTCTAAAAACACAGCATCTGATTTTAAAAAATGTTAACAGATATCCCACAGGACCAATGCATCGTGTGTAGTTTCCAGTTACAAACAAGTTGGCAATCAAGAGCTTAAAATTCTACCAGAGTTCATCCTTATCATGTTTGTTGTGTTCCCTACAAGGCTTGCGATAAACTATTAGTGGGACTTCTTACAACTTTCACTCAACCACTTCTGTCCTGCTGCATTTTTTCCGTTAAGGTCTTACTTCTTCAGAGCATGAATAAAACCTCTGAAGACAAATGTAAGACTGCATTTGTCCCACGCTCTTACTATTCAGTATATGACGGCGATAACTGTGCTAGATGAAATGTCCAAATCTGATTTACAATTAGAATGTCTTCCAATCATCCATTTTATAAAATCTCAAATGTTGACATCCCCATAGTTTTGGAAAAGAGTTTATTAGAAGAATGAAACCAACTTTCTCTTATGTAATGACAGCTTCCTTCATGAGGAAAGTTTGTTAAAATAGCTACAGGAACCTGAAAACGTATTGGATTGATTGCCAGTTTGAAAGCTGGAAACAGTGGTGTCACCTCTCCTGATTTGTTAGTTTGTCTGTGGCAGTGATAGCTAGAGAAGAAAAGTCGCCCAAAGATGCAAGTCATACAAGGGACAAGTTGCAAGTCTGTGTCAGTTTATTATAGCATAATGTACTTATGCATGCAAGTTTCAAAGCACTCTATTCACTTAGAGAGAGTAAATAGCCGGTCCAAGCTGGCCCTAAAACAAGCCTCTGTGAGAGGTGTTCTGGTGACACCCTGCTCATGTTCAGGCAGTGAGGTCATAGGGACAGCAGCCATAGAAAGCCAGTGTTCAGTCATGTAGATACACACACTCGGCAGATTCAGACGCTCACCTGGACTTTCCCCTCTGACATCACAGGCACTACCACAGCATCGAGGTGTTCACCCATTACGACCTGCTGACGCTGAACGGCACAAGGATTGCAGAGGGACACAAGGCCAGTTTCTGTCTGGAGGACACATACTGCCCCGATGGTAATGTTCACAAAGCCATTCTGTTTCCCCATTAATGGCAAGAAATTAATTTAAATGTTTCAACTACCAGCACATTGTAGTGGTCAGTCCAGTCACTTGAGAAATCTCACTAGTCACGTCTAGTTGTGTTTAGATTTTTCTGCCTTAAGTTTTTGTCTGTTTGTTTTTGCGTGTGTTTATCTTTTGTTGTGCTGTGTTTTTCTTCAATTAATTAAGAATTATTGTTAGTGGTTTGTTGATGCATAATAGAGGTGAATTTATGGATTGTATTGTACAAATGAATTGAAGATGAAATGAATGAATGAATCCTGAGCTTAACAGATCTAAATGTTGTTGCAATTTGTGTTGGTTTACTCTTCATTTCCTTACTATGTCATGAACAAATATCTAATTAAAAACAGCAATGAAGTCAAAGACTCCTAACAATAAAAGAAGATTAAATAAAATAATCTCCGATGTTGTCATTGTTAAATTAGTTGGTATTTGTGTGTGCCACAGGAATCCAGAAGAGGTTCTCCTGCTACAACATGGGTGATCAAGGCATTTCTGTGGGCTGCTGGGACACCTACCGCCATGACATTGACTGTCAGTGGGTTGACATGACAGATGTACGACCAGGGGATTACATTTTCCAGGTTAGAGTTTGTTTTAAACTCTCCCATTTTATGTATTTGCTTTGGTGTTGGGCAAATATCACAAGCCCAACCACTCATTATTCTGCCAGTTTTACTTCCCTCAAAAAAAAATTAGACTAGAGAAAATCAGTGGACTTTGCTACCAAATTTGAGTCTTAATAATCTTCTTATATAGTAATTAGCAAAAACTATATTTATATAAAGGTTGTGAAGCCAGTTCTGATTCCTCTTTAATAATCACGATTAACAGCATTCAAAACATTTGCTTTACAAAATCCCCATTCAATCAATCAATCCATCAATCAAATTTTATTTGTATAGCACATTTCAGCAGCAAGGCATTTCAAGGTGCTTTACATAATTAAAATAACAAAATAACAGTTTTTTTTTTTATTATGAACTGTAATTTGCTATTATATCAGAGGAAGAGGCCACATCACATTGTCTTTAACCCCTTAACCCTCGCCCTCGGAAAATACAATGGAAAAACGGAATACGGCATTCCGTTGCATGTTAAGGGGTTTTAAGAAGAGTCTCTGTAAAACAGGGTTTTTCCACTGTTCTAAAACAAAGACATTTTTTTTTTTCATTTTAGCCTTTAGAGTAGTTAGCATGACTAACCGTCAACTACATCAGCGTCTCTAGATATTTGTAAGAAGTTTTCAAAAGACTCCTTAGGTTTCCAAATCCAACATGTTCCATAACAGAAATAGGTTGAAAGTTAAAAAGGGTACAATAGAAAAACTTTCCTCAGCCTTTCCATTTTATTTTGCTAATCAGCCAATGTCTCAGTGCATTTTCATTGGAGATCAGAAATATTGTCAAGTGACTGAGTTTTACAGGCTTCTAAAAATTGAATTATGGCCTCCTAGGATGTCTTTTTTAGTCTAAAGAAAACTACAAACTATCTTCACTGCCATTTATACCCTTTTTTTTCCCCTCACGCCTTTGCAACTAGCAGACCTAAACAGATCAAACACTCTGACCCCCATTATCATCAATTTCTATGTCAGAACCGTGATCCTGCGGTGGGATGTGGTATTCTTCAGATCTTAGCATGCTGCCAATTACCTCCAAGCTGTGGGAGACACATTACAGTGACACTTACTGTTTGAACCCACTGTTAATTATTGCTGTCACCAGTGTGTTAGCAGGCTCATTTGATGATTATTGCTCTTACACACTTCACCGATGCAGAGCTACTCTATTTTTAGACTGGTTTGTATAATTTGCCCCATGCCAAGGTGTCACACATGTACAGTAAACTCTTGTTCCAACCAGATGTGCCCTAAACATGTTGAGTGGGGTTTAATGATAAAGTTTCGTATTGGCTTGGTGTGCGTATGAAGACATAATGACAGAAAAAAAAAAAAAAACAGCGGAGGAAACAATGAGGAATTTCACTAAAACCAGTTCACACAGAGCCGCTCTTCATTAAAACCGCAGCATTTTTGTTGCGATTCAGCCACTAGTTGATACGTCTTCAGTGATCGGGATTGTTTATCAATCCAATGTTTGAAACCAGGTCTCAGAGTGAATCTTTCCAGTAACATCCTCCCACAGAGGTGTCAAGTAGTCTGCATGTGTGCAGAATGCACTGCTGTAGGTTGTATTGTATGCATGAACCTGCAGATAATAACAATTGTGGACAGCATTGTACTTTGTCTGCTCCTTAATTAACCCGTTCAATTTAACACAACTTCTGTTAAGGAATATATTTGTGTGACATAACCACTTGGTTCTTGGAAACATAGACGGGTTTCTGTTTTTTGAAATGAGGTTAGTGAGGCGGAAGCTAAAGGTCAAGAATGCATGCAAGTTCGATGACATGCTAAAATATTAGCGCCATATAATGGCCTAGAATGACAACTACAGCGGATTCAGTATGTTTTGGCGGTGCCGACTAAACATGGAACTTTACCCAGTCAACCACCAAAAATACCATCAGTTTTCAGGCGGCGGTTTTGTGTAAATGAGAACCAAACAACAGAAAATAAAAGAGAACATAAAGTAAGCCTAGTGCTATTCACCAAAGCTAAAACTGAAGGAATAAACACCTTTAACAGCAGCACTCTTTGTCTTCACTGTGGTATGTTTTTATGTGGTAAAAAAAGGGAATGTTTGATTTTCCTTATTCAAGTCTTTACAACAAAGACCCAGCAGGCCTGTTCTTGAACCTGCCAAACACCAATTTACCCAAATTAACTATTGGCTTCTTTTAATCAAACAGCTCCTAGTTCTCCTTCTCCATTAGCGACGGCTAATTTGTCCCCCAGAATTCCTCCTGCTCTATTTTTAATTTTATTGCCTCGACTTTAACTAAGATGCCTTCGGCCCTGTACGTTTAGGTCCAATGCTGTAATTTACCCAAAAAGAAAAAGAAAAAACAAAAATTGAAGATACTTTGTTTTGGTGCATTCACTGTCTTTTGATGTTTTCTCCTATTTTGGTGTATATTGGCTTCTTTCTCCAAGAAGCTGTTTGTAACCTGTACTTAAAGTGGGTGTAGTAGTTTACAGAGCAGCTATTAGAGTAAATGGCTTCACAGTATTATCACTAGGCCAGATTAAGAGAAAGGTTGTATCAGCAGTAACAGAGCTGCTCTGCAAATGACACGCCATTAGTACATGCATGGTAGTACCCAGAAAAAGACTGATTTCAGACATATAAACACACACATTACTTCTCCGTTGCAACAGACTTGCCTTTTAGGCTAAATCCGTTTTTATTTTTGCAGCATGATGGTGGTACGAGGCGGAGCACACGTTCCTCCTGTGCAAGAGCTTAATCCTGCACTATGTTATAATTTCATTTCCATACGACCCCTGTAAACATTGCAGAACCTCTTCAGCGGCCGGTTTAGTCTGGCCAGATCTAAAGAAATTGGCACATGCTATAAACATTTTAACAATTACTTTTTCTTGAAAGATCAACCAGTGTGCTTCATACTTTCCACGAAACATGCTAAAAGCAAGTGTTTTAATAGTCACACACTCATATATGGAAATCCAAATGAAAATCCTTAAGCGCAGCAGGTCCATGTGGAAGTTCAGCACATTGTATTTATCTTTTCAAATTAGAATCCTGTGTGGAAAAGTCATCCAATCGTCTCTTTATAGCTGAGAAGCAGATTGGCTATAAAAAACAATACCAGTGCTCCTTAATAATAGCCCCTCTTACAATTTTATGTGCAGCTACTGTTTTCTTACAATGACTTTCCCAGTGACATGAAAACAAGGAATCAGGTCATGTCTTGCATGTTGAAGTCAATCCTTAGACATGACTAAGTTTAACACTTGAAGGTTTTTGGATCTGAGCTGTTCTGTGGCTGCTCTAGAACTTTTGATCAAATGTTTTGAGGCCTTTAACTATGTTTCTATTAACTATGTTTTTTTTACTTGTTTTATGAGAATCAGTTTATTGGCCAATGTTGAGTGCACAAGCACATTAAATACAAAAATACCATTAACTTTAGGGGCAATAAAGACCAGTTGCGATAGTGCAAATCAGCTCATTTTGTTTCAGAGTGGCTAAGTTGACTAATCTGGTAAAAAGAGTAGACGTAATACGATATCTCTTCCTCCTACACTTTTTAGTCTCTAATTGGCGTAACTGTTAACATTTGTTCCTCCAATGTTTTTACTGGCAAAAAAAAAAGGAAAAAAAAGAAAAGCATTAAATAATAAATCAAATCAATTAATCGTTTGGCATATTGGACAAAAAGTTATCTTCTGATTTCTTCTGACCAGGCATCAGGTCCATGTGAAACATTGTATTTATCTTTGCAAGCTGGAATGCTGCATGGAAAAGTCATCCAGTTTGTCTTTTTATAGTCGAGAAACAGATTGACTGTAAAAACAATCCCAGCCATGAGAGGTGTTTATTAACAGCCAATCTTACAATTTTTATGTGCTACTGTTTTCTTGTACCGACCTTCCCATTGAAGGGAAGGCCCAACAATGAATCACGTCATTCTTTGCCACTGGAAGTTAACCCCTTATTTGACATGAGTGAGTGCAACACAGGAATATGTTTTGATTGTAACCATTCCACTTAACTCTTCTACAACCTGTAAATCTCCAGGATGGCCGCAATATTCATATCTGCTCACCTTCCGACAAACTTTGACTAATTTTCCTGTTTTGTACAACTATTGTTTTTTTTTTTTTGCTTTGTTTTTTTTTTTTTTAATGACTTTCTGAATGAAGGTAGACCAATCATAAATATTCTCAATCTTTGCAGGTGGAAGTTAACCCCTCTTTGGACATGGCTGAGTCTGACTTTATGAACAATGTCATGAGGTGTCGGTGCAAATATGATGGTCACAGAGCTTACATGTACAGCTGTCACACAGGTAAGAACTGATGAAATTTTCTATTCTTAATATTTGATCAGATTTTGATTTTTAACATTTGCGTTATTTTTATACAGGTGACGCTTACAGTGCAGAGACTGAAGACCTTTTTGAGCACCAAAGGCAAATAACCAACAATTCTGTGTAGCTCATTCCAATGTAAAGACCTTCCAACGAAGCACAGAGACAATTCAAAGTGGGCTAAGGTCGAAAGGCTCCAGGATCACAGACTCAGTAACATAACAACATGGGTCCTGCTAATGTCCTTGAAGATCTGGGTAGAATATTTAAGAACTCACCAAGTGACAGCAGCATTCATTGCAGCATCTTCCATTGACTAAAACATCCATCGACGGCAAGAGAGGAACAGGTGTCACTTTGTTCAAACTGTTTCCCAGCTCTACTAAGGAAAAATTAACTTAGATTTAGATTTTAACTCTTGTGGATCTTAGCAAATTATAGAAATCTTACATTCAAAACTAACTAGGAACAGGTAAACTGGTATCATTTTCAAACAGGAAGATATGAAAACCTGAGAAAAAGATATGAGATGAGATTTTGTGAGTTTTGTCACAAAATGTTGCATAACAGGTTTATAAGACATTTTTCTAAAAGTGCCACATATTTAGGCTATTAGCATTAGCATGCAAAATTTCCCATTTAAGTTTATATCTGACTCATTTTGAATTTTGGTGCTTTCTTTTTCTTAACCAGTGATACTGTATTATTTTTGTCACATTAACCTCAATGAGTTTCATATGAAAGATTTTGTACAGTATATTTTGGATAATTTTCATTAATAGACATATTTTATTTTATTAACTTTTTAATTCTAATTAAATAATCTTTGATTTTTTTTATATGTTGTGTTCCACCTTTAGAGTAGATAACAGGAGGTTAGTTTTTTTTTTTTTTTCATATAAGAAAGCACTTTATCTTTAAAGTAAGTATTCAAATTTAGTCCCCATTTTTGATTCGCCCAAAATTTTTAAATTTTTTTTTTTTTGTTTTTTTTTTTTTTTTTTTTTTTTTTTTTTTTTTTTTTTTTTTTTCTCCCGGGAAAAAAAAAAGGGGTTTTTTTTTTTTTTTTTTTTTTTTTTTTTTTTTTTTTTTTTTTTTCTCCCG